TATGATATGTTACAAACAGAAATTATTCAAGCAAGAACTAGCAAACTAGTTGAAAATTCTGATTCTTTCATTTTATTTCCAACTTTATCCATGTGAGAGGAAAAACTAATTGAATAGCTTAAAGGAGAGGGGAAAAAAAGAGAGTGTTTCAGGGGAACATAGAAGATCGAAATAATTACAAGTAATTACAGCTCCTGTAGCATTATGTTTCTTATTTCTTCCTATATCTCCTATAATACATAGCCCTGTAGTTTTAATATGACAAATATTTAAAACTTTTTTGAGTTGAAAGTCCTAAGTTTATATAATACATCATTCATACAAAGAGCTATGAGAAGATATAAAAATAGTGTGGTAAAAATTTGGATGAAGCTGAATAAAAAAACCAGTATTAGTCTTCTTTTTAAAAAACAATTACAACCTTTATTTTAGATTTAGGGGGTACACATGCAGGTTTGTTACATGGCTATATTGTGTGATCCTGAGGTTTAGGGTATGACTGATCCTGCCACCTACATAGTAAACATAGTAACCAATGTTAGTTTTCAATCCTTGCTCCCGTCCTTCTCTCTGCCATTTAGCAGTCCCCACTATCTATTGTTGCCATCTTTATGTCCATGAATACTCAATGTTTAGCTCCCACTTATAAGAGAGAACATGTAAAAACCTGTATTCTTAAAGCACTTGAAAAGCCTAGAAATTTTCTGAAATATGTAGTTGACCTATATAAAATTTGGGAAATGAAATGATGAGTGATAGAAGAAAGAAACACGGAAAGTTACGAGTGGGAATGTGGGGGACAAGTAATATGACAATGAGAAGAGGGATTGCTAGGGAACAAATTCTTAACATTTAATGCCTAACATATTGAGAAGAATTATATTTAGCTTGGCAAATTCATGGATCTAGCTTTGTAACTAGAATTCTCTAATACTGGCAGAAATGATGGTAGCAGAAAATCAGGATTAAAAATGTATTGTAAACAACAAAGAAGAATACTTTCTATTTCCAAATAATGTAGAATGAACACTATATGGCACAGATACTGAGGATATTGAGGGGGATGTTGAGGTAGATGAAGATAAGGGGAAGAATTTACTGTGACAGAAGCTCATCATCTCATGAGTATGAAACAGATAACCTTCAGTTCCATTTCAAACAGCCATCAGCAAGTTAGAAGTATCTGAAGAAATAACAGTGTCTGTTGACCTCGTTACACACTATTAACAATAGCAAATTCAAAATTTGCATATATTATATTAAATTAATTTATTCCTAAATATATTCGTTACACTACTGTAAACAGTATTTTTAAATTTTTTCCCATTGCTATATATACTAGCATATATATATAGAATATATTATATATGGAATACAATTGATTTTTGTACATTTTCCTTGTATCTTATGACCTTGCTTAACTTGGTTGTTAGTTCTAATACCTTTTTTATATGTTTCTTAAGATTTTTTATATACACATTCATGCAATTGTGTCATCTATAAATAAAATGTATGCCATTTATTAAGGTTTCTTGCTTTATTGTGCTAGCTGGCACCTCCAGCATAATATGAGTAGTTAATACTCTTGTCTTTTCTCCTGATCATGAGAAAAATATTAGTTTTTCATTTTTAAATATGAAGTTAGCTATAGGCTTTTTATAGATGCCTCTTATTTGATTGTGGAAGTTTCCTGATATGTAGTTTATGTGATGTTTTATCATGAATGGATATTGAATTTTCTCAAATGATTTTTCTGGCGGCAATTAGAGGATCATATGGTTTTTTATTTATTCTGTAAATGTGTTATATTATTTGATTTTTAAATGTTAAGCCAGCCTTACATTCCTGAGATAAAACCTCCTTAGTTATGATATATTATCCTTTTTATATATTGTTGAATTTGATTTGTTAACATTTGTTAAAAATTTTTGCATCTATGTTCATAGGAAATTCTGAATTGTAATTTTATTTTTTTGTATTATACAGGTCTGCTGATAAAAAACACTCTCAGTTTTTGTCTGAAAATGTCATTATTTTGCCTTCTGAAGAATATTTTTGTCAAATATACTAATCTATACTGATCTTTTTTTCTTTCAGCACTTCAATTGAATTGTGGTTCATATCTATTTCTCAGGAGAAGTCAGCATTTTTATGATTGTTCCCCTATAGGTAATATGTCTTTTTTCCTCTGGTAATTTTAAAGATTTTTCTCTTGGTTTTTAGCAATTTGATTATACGCCATGTAGTGTTTTTTTTTTTGTTTATTCTGCTTGAAGTTCATTGAGCTTCCTGGATTGGTGACATTATCTTTTTTATCAAATTTGAGAATTTTCCTATCATTATCTCTTCAAATAATTTTCTGTGTATGTGTGTGTATGTGAAGCTGCTTTTTTAGGGTTGTCATTTTTACACTAAGAATTTCCAATTATTGTCATTACATTCACATTTTTCTCCCTTTAAATGTTTGAATCTATTTATGGCAACTGTTTTATAGTCCTTGTCTGCTAATTCCATCATCCTGTCATTTTTAGTCTATTTCTATTGACCAATTTTTCTGCTTTTGTGTATGTCTAGTAATTTCCTATTGAATCCTTGACTCAATGAATGCTATGTTGCTGAGTGTTTGGATTTTGTGGTCCTCTTGGTTGAGTGTTAAGTTTTGTTCAGGTATGAAGTCAATTTACTGTTGAATCACCTTGATTTTTTCAAGGTATTCCTCCCTACCTCCCCAAATACCCATTATTTTTATTTTTAAAGTCATTTTGTATGAGACAAAACTTTCAAAATAATATTAAATAGCAAACATCCTTCTTTATCAGGGCTTAGTTTTAAAATTTGTAAGGATAGGTATGGAGTAACTCTTACTTTAAGGATAGATTAGTCCTACTTCTAAACATAGACTTTAAAAGATAAATACCTTTCTGAATACCAGGGGTATTTAATGAAAGCTCCTGGTCATGTAGGAGCTCTGGTAGTTGTTCAGGTCAAAGATCCCTAGTAGTTCTTCTTTTCCTAGTGTTTGTGAATTTTGTTCAGTTTTACCGTTTTTATTGTGGTAGGGCCAATCTGCTACCACTACCGTCATGGTCAGAGGTATAAATCCCAAAAGGCAGTTTTTCACCATATCTCAGCTTTTCCTGGGTCCTTTCCTCTTTCTCCTTTGACCCACTAACTCTGCCCTTTATTCTCCTACAATTCTCTCTCAAGAACTGATAATCACTTAGTGAAAAGACCCAAACCAGAAACTAACTCTTATAACTCAATTCAGTGCTGTATTATACTATATATTTTTTACTTCCTGGGATTAAAACACTAACAATCTAAGTTAGCTTTAAGTTGTTCATTACTTGATATATTTCTTGACTTATCTTTCTGTTTTGTTTTTGGTGGATCTGTCATTTATATTTTATTTTTTAAAAATTAGAACAGGTTCATTCATAAAGCTAAAAATGACCCATGTTGGGAAAAACTGTTTGATTAAAAGCTGAACCAGCATTCTAACCATAAAAAATTATCCAAAAAGTAACTTTAAGGAAGGCAAGGAGACAGCTAATAATGTACTCCTTCCAGATTTCTGGGTTCCTTATCTCATACCTGAGATTTACATAGTTTATTATTTCTCCTTGTGAGCTATTTTAGCTGCTTGTGAGAGAATAGGCTTAGATCCTACATGTTTTTCTTCTAACTTAAGAGCCTTTATGTTGATGAGATCTGTTCCTAGAATGTAATGTTCATCACTCTCTGTCCACAGAATATCTATTAATTCATGTTTATAAAGCATTAGTCACTTCAAAAATAAATTTTGCATGGTTTTATTACCTTTAAAGGAGAGAAAAGAGCAAGAAGAACAGAAATAAAACTGGTTTATAAAATGGGCCTTTAAGAAAGTATTTTCACATTGGACCAGGAGGGAAACAAATGATTAAATGAGATTTTTAAGAGGCTGTGGGTCTAATAGTCTTACCTGTGTAGCTGAATATATTCTCGGGGTCTGTTGAGCAGGTGAAGGAATCTGTCAACAATCTTGTTTTTTCCTACACCCTGTAATTACACAGAAAACATTAAACAAAAAGAGGTTATTTTCTGGAGATAAGCTTATGCCAAACCAGAAAAGTCTTTTACCAAAACCTGCTTTCTCACCTTTTTACTGTTTTAGTTTATCATTCATGAAAACCAAACTGGCAAACATATACGGAATATCTCCTATGACATGAGGGTTTAAAAAATTTATTTCTAAACATACTAGTCCTAAGCCATTCTTATTTGAAAGGAAATCCATAAATTAGCCTCCTACATATTGATTTTTCTGTTCTGTAAATTTACACTGAAGTCTAGGCATCACAGCAGATGCCCATAGTATTAACTATTTCAGATTTGAAGGGTGCCATCAAAGGTGATCAAGTAAGTATAAAACAATGGTTTCTCTAATCAGTTCTTCAGAATTATGATTTTTAGCTACAGAAAGGTAAATATAATACTGTACTTTTTCTATTAGAATCAAACACTCATTTATTTTCCTTTTATCCTATTTTAAAGTCCTTTAAAACCTTGGAAACCTAGTGTATTAATAAAACTCAACTATATGTACTCTTCCTAGAAATGCCCTCATTTCCTTACCACTTACTGGTGCTAAGAGTTGCTATCCTTTTGTAGAAGACAGACTGTTAAAAATGGAATCCACCCCCATGCTATTTCCCTATTTGAAAGTTTTCACTTAGAGGTGAAATACAATTAATGGTGTGTAAATCTTTTAACAAGTAGGTTGTGTGGAAAGAGTTATAGTTTAAAAGCTGACTTCATATCATACATGCTAGCAAAAATAACTCTTACTGATTCTTATATGGGTTGAGCATCACTAATCCAAAAATCTGAAACCCAAAATGCTCCAAATTCTGAAACTTTTTGAGCACCAACAAGATGCTCAAAGGTCATGCTCAATAGAAATGCTCATTGGAGCACTTCAGATTTTGGATTTTTAGATTAGGGATGCTCAACTGGTATGTATATGCAAATATTCTAAAATGTGAAATGCTTCTGGTCCCAAGTATCTAAGATAAGGGACATTTAACCTATACTGTGCCAGGCTGTAGGGTAAGTATTTTCATGGGTTATTTCATTTCATCATCACAACAGTCCCATGAGGTAGGGATTAAAATTATTTCAACCTCACAAATCAAGAAACCAAGGCTCAGAGGTAAGCACTGTGCACACAGTCACACACAGGTAATTCTAGTGAAACCAGGACTCACATCCAGGTCTATATGATTCTGATGCTCATAATTATAGTCCCTGCATTATGGAATATCTTTTTTTCAGTTTGAAATTGATTTTGGTAATCTGGGCCTTAAGTTATCTCCTTCTTCACTTCTAGGTCCATCCTAAAGAAATAATTAGGCAGACTGGGGCAATGTATGGTATACAGCACCAATAGCAGAAGCCCAATAGGGAAGCAGGCATTTTTATTGGTATTTTTACTATATACTCAAACATCTTGTGAAGAAAAGCATTCTACAAGCATCAAGGATAGAAATTCAAATCAATTGAAATGGTATGATTGAGTGCCACAGGGGGTAGAAACCATGTCTGTTTTACTTATCACTATATCCCCAGAGCTCAGCACAGTGCCTGAGAGTGCGTTCAATAAATATTTGTCAAGTGAATAAACAAATATAGGGAGTTTGGAAAGTACTGGAAAAAGAGTGAAGATTCTGGTAAAATATTTTAAGTGGTGACCATATTAATAAGGATGCTGAAATCATGGACTTATAAAAGAAGAACGGGCCAGGGGCATGACTCACATCAGCAATCCCAGAGATTTGGGTGGCTTAAGTGGGAGGATCACTTGAGCCCAGAAGTCCCAGATCAGCCTGGGCAACAGAGAGAGGCCCCAGCCTCTTGGGAGGCTGAGGTGGGAAGATCTCTTGAACCTAGGAATTTGAGGCTGCAGTGAGCCATGATCACACCACTACATTACAGCCTGGTGATGGAGCAAGACTCCACCTGTAAAAATAAATAAATAAATAAATAAATAAATAAAGTGGGATAAATTTTAAAGGTGAATTATTTCACCTATAAAAGATTCAAAGTTATCAGAGCTGAATATCAAATTGACAAATTCACTAAAGTTAGAACAATGGATAATTTCGTCTTCTAGGAATCTTTTTAGTATCTAATTGGATTTCACTCAAAATAGTTTCAAGCCTAGCATAGAAGCACAAAGGAGGAAAATCACATTTGCATATTTGTATGTAAATTATAACCGGTATGTAAACTCTAAATGGCATGTGACCATAAATATAAATTTTTAAATAGATAAATTTCAGATGAGTAAAATGTCTGGGTTAATATATTCGTTCTGTTAAATTCAGCAATCCTAGAAAAAGCAGACATCCTAAATGCATTACAATGTTAGAAATACAAAGGATTTCCTGGAAGAAATGTCATGAAAATGTGCTATCAGGGAGTTCCTCCTCCCTCCCCACCTCTAAAGTTATTAAATAGCCATGCTTATTCAAATTCCTTCTGAGCAAGGCATGATTTAGGAGTCACGAGTCCCATAAATGTAGTTTGAGTCCCAGTTGCCACTAAGGAGCTCTTTTGCTGTGTCTCTTTAAATGTTGGAGTGTCCAGAACCCCAACCTCAGCTGTCTTGCTCCATACGCTCGCTCTCTGGGAAATACCACCCACTCCCATGACCTCAGTCATCACATACAGCTCACACTTCTTTTCTAAGCTTCATTCGATATCCCCTATTCTTAACCATCAACTGAACTTCTGAAACAGATGCTTATTATCCTTCCACCCAAACCTACTTTTGTCTCTTTTCAACCCCCATATAACAGTATTGCCACATACTCAGCTGCTCAATAAAAGAATGCTAGAGGCCGGGCACGGTGGCTCAAGCCTGTAATCCCAGCACTTTGGGAGGCCGAGACGGGCGGATCATGAGGTCAGGAGATCGAGACCATCCTGCCTAAAACGGTGAAACCCCGTCTCTACTAAAAAATACAAAAACTAGCCGGGCGAGGTGGCGGGCGCCTGTAGTCCCAGCTACTCGGGAGGCTGAGGCAGGAGAATGGCGTAAACCCGGGAGGCGGAGCTTGCAGTGAGCTGAGATCCGGCCACTGCACTCCAGCCTGGGCGACAGAGCGAGACTCCATCTCAAAAAAAAAAAAAAAAAAAAGAATGCTAGAATATTTTTGATGGCTTCATTTTTTCCCCTCTGACCTCATGCAAAATGTCATTAGGATCTCTGCAGTCCCTACCTGCAAAACTTTTAGTTTTATTCTTTCCCTCCATTCCTTCTGTTTCCTTCATTCCTCTTTCCCTTCCAACATTTTCTCCCTCCCTCCCTCCCTTCTTTTCTCCCTCTCTCACTTCCTTGCCTAACTCATCAATTATTTGAGCACCTAATATTACAGCACTGTACTAGCTGAGCTGGCTATAATAGTAAAGAAAACAGCTACAGCCTCTCACCATATTCACAGCTTACAGTCTAGTAGGGAACACAGACAACACATGTAATAGATAGTGTCCTCATACGACAATCCAAGATGCTTGAAGCTTTACTAAGGGCTCAGGAAGGCCGACTGCACAGTTATGTTTAGATTGAGATATCAAGGAATTAAAGAGGTACAGGGAAAGATGAAAAAGGGGAGTGTTACAGGTAGAACAGTATGTGTCAAGACTCGTGGGTAACAGTCAGCTGGAGAGCTGGACAGGTCTGCAAGAAGTCAGAAGCTAGAGAAAAGTGAGAAAGGGAGTGGTAAGAAACCAGGCTAGAAGGCTAGAAAGGTAGGTGGGATTTAAGTCTGGCAAAGCCCTGGAAGCCACTTAAAAGAGTTAGAACTGTTTCCTCAAAGCACCAAGAAGCCACTGAAGTAAAGGAATAATAGGATCAGATTTTCAGTTTTAGAAAATTGCTCTGACGGAATAGTACGGTGGAGTCTGGTAGAGAGCAGAAGAGAAAGCAAGAAAGCAGTCTGAAATTCCTTTAAAATTCAAGCAGGAGATGATGGTGGTCTAAACTACGGGATAGACAGAAATGAATAGATTTAAGAGATATTTAGGAAAAGGAACCAACAGGACTTAGTGAGGGCCTGGAGTTAAGGATGAGGAGATGACGAAGTCAAAGTTTCTGTCTTGGGCAATAGAGTGGCAGGTCACAGAAGAAATAGGGGAGAATAACTGAATTAGCTGGGTGGGGAAGGGAAGTCTAGCTATAAAAGGCAGTTTAATTTTGGATATGTTTACTTTGAAGTGTCTGCTTCCCATATCTGCTCCTTCCTCTCGAATTCACTGTCTCAGCTCAAGGGTAGCTCATTCCCTCCCCAGACTACTGGAAAGGGCCTAATTTGGTTTGGTTTCCCACCTCCAGATTTACAACAAAACAATCCCCAATTTGTTTAGTTATTTTTCTAAAACGGAGATCTCATCAAGTTGCTTACTATTTCATTTAAGAAGCTCTGATAATTCCTTTGAGGAAATGCTGAAAGCATCATCTAGGAAAGAATTTCTGTAAATATCCTGAGCAAAATGAAACAGTTATAATGACTTGTTCCTTCTAATCACAGTTTTTGCCTAGAATAGAAATTTCTCTGGATTATTTTAATTGAATAAATACATAAGTAGTGTCTTATTTTTCCATTATAAAGTTACACATGCTCATTTTTCTCACTGGGAAACTCAGAAAACAGTAATCAGCCAACGTCCAACTGCTTAAAAAATCTGCTAACATTTTCATTTTGTTCCTATACATACTTATGTTTACTTACTAGTAAAAATTCCCTTAATATATATGTAATTTGTATCCTTCAGTAAAAATCAAAATGAAATAGATACATTTTTATATCATTAACTCTTATTGAGAATAATATTTAGTAAGTGAAAATTCGAAATGAGAGAAGAAACTTGTGGAATGAGAGATCCTAAAAAGTAAAAATAATCTCATGAGAATGATGCTAACATTTATCATTCTGTTCTGCTGGACTGTGCTTTTCATGACAACGTACTGGCCAGAAGGCTTTTCGCAGAAGCAGGAG